GGAAATGTACTCCAATCAATATCTTAGTATTGTTGACAGTTCTATTGTACCTGTGGCTAACTGTTCATATCCTGTATGTGTTTCCTAACAAGTAACAGATGCAAAAATTAGAGTTACAATTAGAGGTGGGAATTCTTTTTGTTATTGGTTGCCACAGAAGGGAAGGAATCTACTCCTGAGAGGTCCCACCGTGGGTGGAAATCTTGGCTGATTTGATGAGAATAAATGTTATAGGAGCTGAAGGACTCTGCCTGGGAAATATTTGGAGGGAATCAACACTCCTGGTTATGATCAGTTCTTGTATTATAACAGATGGAAGCTGGACAGTCATCAAATTCTCTTTAATTACTTTTTGCTATATTATAGATAGAATAAGTCTAGATGAGTTCCTCTAAGAATTCCTTTACATACTTTGACTGGGCCAAATTTATACATGATAAACTATACAAGATGGTCCTACAAGAAAATTTATCATTTTTTTTGTTACGTTTAACAAACAATTTATGAAAAGTGGCATACTTTTAAAAAAAATAAACATGTCCCCTTATCTTACCAGTTCGCAAAGAGTTTTGAAAGTATAAAATTTAGAAGTAGCATTGTGCCAAAGTAGTGCGGGAAATGTCCGAAAATGTCAGAATGTATTGTTTCTTGTATCATCGGCTCAGATACTGGAGTTGTGTGTATGTTCCAACCATATGTTGATTTTGGATCTGGCTTGGTTTTAATATAATTTATAAAATTACCCAGGGACTGTTAAGCATATTAAAGGACAGTTAACATTCATTTGAAGTGAGAAATAACTCTTAGAAAATGATAATCTTTTCCCAAGGATTTTCTGAGAAAATTATTGTGTACTGAGCTGATTCCAATCAACATGGAACGGGGTAGGCAGTCTTTTTGGAGCTGGGAACAGTACTTAATTTGGATTTATTTGTGGAGGAGATGAAGATTGTGTTAGGCAGGGTGATGATGATACAAAGGAGGTTGGGCTGTGTGATACATGTATTCACGACCATAATGTTCACATGCTCATGACAATAATGTGCTGTATAATATTCTGGAAATACTCTTTTGGCATGCAAGGGCATGGGACATTTTCTTTGTATAGACGTATTATGACTGTTTATGCATACACTACAGTTTCTCTGTGCTTTCTGTCGAGCAATGTCAGGAAAACAGCATTCAGTGGTTCAGTCAGAAAACAGCCACAAAATGAAGCCTAGAATTCAATCCTATAGTTGACAGCAAAAGTGGCTGGGGACATTTTTGGGAGTTGAAATCCACACGTCTTAAAGTTGTCAAGGTTATGGTTCTTAACTGGAGACTACCTGTACTCTCTAATGTGCTATGTGAATGGAGAATGGAGAATCTTTCCACTGTATAAACTATAAAAGTTTATACAGTGGAAAGATTATTTTTTCCCAATTTTTATTAAAGTCTTTGCCTGTCTAAACTCAAAATGATTCTTCTCCAAACATGGTTTTTACAGAGTTCTGTTTTACAAAATTTATTGCATTACAATAATTCCAATAAGTGAACTATTTTCCATTTAGAATACACTAGACAACCAATGACCATTGGGTCATCCATCTTTCCACATATAATATAGGCTTGCATTAATTTCATAAACTTCAACAGAGCCTTGGTGAAGCCGCCTCCTCCTCCTCCTCCTCCTCCTCCTCCTCCACCACCACCACCACCACCACCTGCTGTCACGTTGCTAGGGGGAGAGGGAACTAAGGGAGCCATGGAACACAAGGAAAACTGCACCCATGCTTTCTATCCAAGAATGTCCCCAAGGGCCCCATCCCTCCAGGGAGAAAGAGGCTTATTTGTCAACACACTCCCAGCGAGCTCTACCTCTCCAGCAGGTATTCAAGTCGCTCCCTCATCCTCTTACTACCCACCACTTTTAAGGGATTTCAAATTTTGCCCTTGGTTTCAAAAAAGAGAATCTCCATTCAGACATCATGCCTTCCCACCAGCACCCGAGGGAAGTGACAATGAGATGGGGATACTCCCACAGGAGTTATGGATTCTGGATTTTGGAAATAGTTCTGAATTTAGACCATTTGAGGTACCTTCGTTTAAAAATTGTTGCCTCTTTTGCCCAGTTGAAGGTTACTAACAGACACAGGCACATTGGTATATAAACATAGCTCTACATAATTTAGGGAGTTTCTAGCTTTCTAGTTTTTTTGCCAGATAAGGAAACACACTTCACAGAAATACCAGAAATACATTTCATTGAGGTGGGCTTTAATAATAGAAACTCACAAATTTGATTGTGTTTTAGTTCCCCCTCTTTATTACATGCCACTGAATCAGGGATGATCCTGCCAATTCCATTCCAATTACACTCTAGTTTCCCAAGGCAGATTATGTGATGGTTCCTGCCTATTTCCCTCAAAATTGCCTCCCTGATACCCTACATTTTCTTTCTAATAGCTTTCCTTTCTTTGAACCTATGAAGAAGCAAGTCTCCAATAATAGGGGAACTTGCAGTTGCCTGTTTACATAACTTTTTTGTGTGTGACTTCATTAGACTAAAAAGCAATTCTTTCAGCTTAAACCATTGAAACAGTAGTGAGTAGTGAGTATCCTGATGGCTAAGGGGCATTCAAAGCATATGGGTAGGATGTGGGGCTAAGGACTGCTAAGGGTAGGAGCAATTATGTAAAGTGTGGGTGTAGTACCACATCATAAACATTTGAGAGCCAGTTTGATGTAGTGTTAGGGATGCAGTGGTTCTGTGGCTAAGATGCTGACCTTATCAATCGAAAGGTTGGCAGTTCAGCTGTTCGAATCCCTAGCGCCGCCTAACGGAGTGAGCTCCCATTACTTCTCCCAGCTTCTACCAACCTAGCAGTTTGAAAGCACATAAAAAATGCAAGTAGAAAAATAGGGACCACTTTTGGTGGGAAGGTAACAGTGTTCCATGCGTCTTTGGCGTTTAGTCATGCCAGCCACAGGATCACGGAGACGTCTTCGGACAGCGCTAGCTCTTCGGCTTTGAAAGGGAGATGAGCACCCCCTCCTAGAGTTGGGAACGACTAGCACATGTGTGAGCGGAACTTTTACCTTTGGTGTAGTGTTAAGATATCTGGCTAGAAACTGGAAATCTGTTAGTTTTAAAGCCAGCTGAGTGACTTTAGAACAGTCATTTTCTCTTAGCCCTAGGAAGGAGGTAATGGCAAACCATTTCTGAAAATCCTCACCAGGAAAAATACAGGGACTTGTCCAGGCAGTCTCTGACAATTGGACCCCCCACGTTATTTACATGGATCAGGCTGAGATGCTCCATGTTTCTTTTCCCTTCCTTTGATAGAACATTGAAGTGCTTGCTTCCATGTAGTTCCTCACTACATCTGCCATAAAACATTTTAGTTGTTAATAAATCAGTCACAGGGATTTGGGAGGAATTAGAAAAATGGAGCTCAGGATCTGCACGTAGCTCTAAGGATTTTACTGCAACCCATATTACAGCTGAACAAAAGAATTGTATCTGAGCCAGAGTTACGTTTAGGGTTAGGGTTATAATATGTGATTTATTTTGCTAGCTGTTAATATATTATTGTATTTATTTGCTTCATCTTGTTTTTGTTTATTTTGTTCATTTAAATTCTGCTGACCATTGACCAAATAAATATTACTGATATTGAACTGAGCCAGAAATAACTTGTAAAGCAATTTAATAGTTTCACCATTTTGATTATACCAGTATTTTAGATTTTGCATTTCCTACTACTTTTTCTTAGCTGACCCTAGTTAGCACAGGCACTGGAAGGAGGCTGGCTTTGTGAGACAAAGTGTTCCAGAGTCAGCAGGCCACAGGGAAAGGGTAGGCATAGGACAAGAGGCTTTGTAATTTTGCTATTTCTTATCCTTAATAATAACAAATATTTGAGCCAGTCCCTCTCTCTGTTAGCCTGGTACTCGGTTCTTGTCAAATCATAAATCTTCCTAATCATGCCAAATTTAAAAGTAAAGTTTCATCCAGGATCAGAATGGCCAACCGTGAGCCCGTATTCAAAGTTCTGAGCAATCAGTGAAGCTGCTGTCAGTTGAACTAGCAAAACCAGCAGAGAAATGCAACATTCCAATAGCAGGCAAGAAAGAGACCTGCAACCTTCCATATTAAAAAAAAAAAATGGAAGTTGAGAAAGTGAAATAAGCTTAAAGCAATAGTAACTTTCTATTCTTTGCTTTCCTAGGAGATATTTCACAAGAAGAGTCCCCCACTCCTCTGCTCGTAACAAAATACCCTATGCCACCAGACTTGAAATTCTGGGTTTAGAAAATTTAGAACTACGCCTCCTTCGGTATGACCTAAGCGTAGCTCATAAAATCATCTGCTAAAATGTCTTACCTGTCAATGACTACTTCAGCTTCAACCACAACAATACATGAGCACACAATAGAGACAAACTTAAAGTGAACCGCTCCAGACTCGATTGCAGAAAATATGACTTTAGTAATAGAGTTGTTAATGCCTGGAATGCACTACCAGACTCCGTGGTCTCATCCCAAAACCTCCAAAACCTTAACCTAACCTAAAACTGTCTACTGTTGACCTCACCCCATTCCTAAGAGGTCTGTAAGGGGCATGCATAAGAGCACCAGTGTGCCTACCGTCCCTGTCCTAATGTTCCCTTTAATTGTATTCATTTTATTCATGCTTATACATATATATATATATTATCTAATATGTACTCGACAAAATAAAATAAATAAATAAATAAATAAAATCTGAAATAATTTAATGGAATTACCAGAACTTACTGTCCAACTCTTTGTGTCAAAGTCCGAGAACTGATCATCCTCGGCTCTGCCCTTAGCATTCTCCATATATGGAAATGAAGTTACAGCACAGTCTCTGCAACACATTTCAGGGACAGCAAGATTCCTGTTGCGTCAATTTGTTCTGTACATCATGGCCATAAGGACAACATTACTAGTTATTATTCCTTACCAGCTAACTCTAAGCCTTTCTCTTTCCAAGGAAACGTAAACCTAACCAGTGACTAATGGAAAAGGAACTGATTGTTTACCTGGCAAGGAAGAATCCAGAACGAACAGAAGCTCGAGTTTACTGGACAGGATAATTACTAGAAAATCCAGCTGTAAGCAATTAATTGAACTACACCATTACTTTAAATAAGAAAACAATATTTTTTTTCAAAATTTCAGAAAAGTTATAAAGACAAAGACCTGAGGCTTACATTTATGAATATGGACAATTTATGTACTTAATTATTATAGGTTATTTCCTATATACCTAGAGACTACATACATGACTATTTTTTATAAGAGTTATTGGCATTAATTCCTTAAATAATGTAATCATGAGGTGATGTCTTGGGGAATCGTAGCAGCTAACTATACTATAGTCACAAGAAAAATATTTGTAGTGTTTGCAGAAACTTATCACTTCACTTGCAATATAACCAGTTCCTGTTATCCACAAGCCAATAAGAAAAGCAAAGAGAACTGAATTCTACCAGAGGAACATGTTTCTTCAGTTTTATTAAATTCCACTAAGTATAGCTTAGAATAACTAATCATAGATTGAAGGGGTGAAATGTAAAATTTGTTACTACAGGTTCTGTGGGCGTGGCTTGGTGGGGGGGGGTGTAATGTGACGGTGGGCTTGGCCAACTTTTTTAAAAAAACTTTTCAAAGCATTTTTTTCTAATCAAGCAACTCAGCTGGGATCGTCAGAGAGGCTTTTTTAAAAATGCTTTGAAAAGCCTCTCTGACGATCAGGCAACTCAGCTGGGATCGTCAGAGACTTTTCAAAGCATTTTTTTTACCACCTCTTCGGCCAAAAGGTTGCAGAAAAATATGCTTTGAAAAGCATCTGACGATCCCAGCTGTGCCGCATGATCATCAGAGGCTTTTTTTTTTTACTTTTAAAAGCATTTTTTCGTCGGAAGAGATTGTAGGAAAAAATGCTTTTAAAAGTAAAAAAAAGCCTCTGATGATTGTGTGTCTGAGCTGGGCATGGTGGGGGGGGGTGTCACAGGGATTTTTGTTACCGATTCTCCGAACCACCTGCTGCCATCGCTACCGGATCGGGCGATCCGGTCCGAACCGGGAGCATTTCACCCCTGATAGGTTGGCAGGTAGAGATTACAATTCTAACATTGGCATAAAACTTACAGCCAGTCCTAATTTGCAGCATATTGGTGCACAAAATACAAAAGTAAAAGCAAACAATTCCACCTTAATACCTACCATGGAATGCATGCTTCCATGGATTATATCCTGGATTCTAAATAAATATTTAATTAGGGGGATGGTGAAATTTAGGGCATGTCAAATTTTTCAACTTTCAAATTCCAAACTTAGGGTTAGGGTTACTCAAAAGTTGTGACATGTGTTAGGAATTGGGTGTCCTCCTGAATGCACGGCTGTCTTTAGAAGAGCATAAGACAGCTGTGGCCAGGGGGGCTTTCTATCAGGTTCACCTGATACGCCAGTTGCGCCCCTTTCTGGATCGGGACTCCTTATGCACGGTCACTTATGCCCTCGTCACTTCCCGCCTGGACTACTGCAACGCTCTCTACATGAGGCTCCCCTTGAGGAGCACTTGGAGGCTCCAACTGGTGCAGAATGCAGCCACGCGGGTACTTATGGGGGCGACATGGTGCTCCCACGTAACACCTCTCCTGCGCGAGCTGCATTGGCTTCCAGTGGTCTTCAAGGTATTGGTTCTCATCTTCAAAGTGCTCCATGGTTTAGGGCCCGGTTATTTACGAGACCACCTTCTGCCACCGATAACCTCCCATCGGCCAATACGCTCCCACAGAGAGGGCCTCCTCAGGGTCAGGCAATGTTGGCTGGCGATCCCCCGGGGAAGAGCCTTCTCTGCGGGGGCACCCGCCCTCTGGAATGAGCTACCCCCAGGGATACGACTGATCCCGGACCTCCAGACCTTCCGCCGGGCTCTGAAGACTTTTTTATTTCAGCAAGCCGGGCTGGGTTAAAAATCTTTTAATTGGTGAATTTTATGGGTAAGGGGTTTTAAATTGGGGGAAGCCAAAGATAAGTTTAATTTCGTTTTTATAGTATTTTAATGTTTATATTGTATGTTTTTTAATTTTGGCTGTTCACCACCCCGAGTCCTTCGGGAGAGGGGGCGGTATAAAAATTTAATAAATAAATAAATAAATAAATAAATAAATAAATAAATAAATAAATAAATAAGATATTTTGGTTTCATTAATATAATTTAGATATGCTTGGTAAGTAACCACATACCATAATTTTTTAAATATTTTATTTGTTTCATTTCAGAATCATTTGTTCAGAAGCAGCAACATTCTTCTTGATTTCATTTTGTTAGGACTGGCACAGGAATAAAAGTAAACAGCAGTGCTTCCCAGATTCATATGATCTTCCAGCAAGTATTTCAGAAAGTGTAAGCATACGAAGAAATCAAAACTCTTAAGTTATACTACTAAGAATTACCTTAATTATCCTCATCTTCAGCTGTAAAATCTGTGACTTCTACACAACAGGGGTGTCAAAAATCTGGCCCATGGGGTGCTTAGATTTGGCCCGTTGGGCTGCCCTGGAAACGGCAAAGGACCAGCCCATGGTGCCTCTGCCAGCAAAAATGGAGCTTGGGGGGGCTGCATGCGCCCCCCCCCGGGCTACATTTTTGGCTGTGACAGCCTCCTGCAGCCCTCTGCCAGTGAAAGCAGAGCTCAGAGGCACACACCTATTTTTGTTGGCAGAGCCCTGCAAGAGGCCGTCCCAGCCGAAAACAGAAACTGGGGGGGGGGGACTGCCCGGGACACCACAGGTGCCCCAGATATGAGTGTCATTGAGCTGGCCACGCCTACCTGGACACATGCCCCCGGTCCCCCTGAGATCAAACACAACCCTGATGCGCCCCTAAATGAAATCGCATTTGACACCCCTGTTCTACAAGCACGTTGTTCTAAAAGCTTTCACGTTATAGAAATTAGTTTGGGTAAAAAAGAAAAAAAAATAATGATCTAAATAATCCCCAGATACTAACAAAGGTAGTATCCCTGCCGCGTGGCAGCAGCCCTGCCTGAGCTACTCGACGTGATAGCCACGGTGGCAGTTGATACACCCAGGCTTATGGTCATGGGTGATTTCAACTTGCCATCCGTTGGTGAAACGTCTGGGATGGCTCGGGAGTTCATGGCTTCCATGACGGCCATGGACCTGACCCAGTTAGTTCATGGCCCCACTCACGGGGGGGGGGACACACTCTAGACTTGATTTTTGTCTCTGGCCAGTGGTTGAGTGATCTTGTTATAGGGGATATAGACATGGAACCCTTGTCATGGTCAGATCACTCATTCCTTCGTCTGGACCTTCGTACCGCTACACCCCGCCGCAGGGAGGCGGTCCCAATTAGATGGGTCCGCCCCAGGCGCCTGATGGATCCTGATAGGTTCCAGACGGAGCTTGGGCCAATTCCTGATGATCTGGCACACAACTCGGCCGAGGATCTGGTAGCTGCCTGGGATCGGGCGGCTGGTGGGGCCTTGGATCGAGTCGTGCCTTTGCGGCCTCTGACCCGCTGTCGATCCCTCGCGGCTCCTTGGTTCACCGAGGAGCTGAGGGAGATGAAACGCCGGAAAAGACGCCTAGAGAGCGGTTGGAGGGCCAGTCGCGCTGAATCTGACCGAACACTGGTAAGGTCGCATATTAAGTGGCGATAAAGACGGCAAAGTGTAATTACTTTTCCGCCTCTATTGCGTCATCAGGGAATCGTCCAGCAGCCCTGTTCAGGGTAACCCGCTCCCTGCTCCATCTGGGAGCGCGGGAGGATCCCTTGGAAGGCAGGGCGGAGGATTTCGGACAATACCTGTATGACAAAATCGCTCAGATCCGGGGGGACTTGGACTCTGACTGGGTAGATCAGGGCAGGGTGACGAGGAATAGTCTTGAGAATGTTATCTGGGAGGAGTTTGATGCTGTGACTCCCGATGATGTGGACAGGATTTTGGGGAGACTTAGTGCGGCCACATGTTTACTGGACCCGTGTCCCTCCTGGTTGGTACTGGCCTCCCGGGAGGTTACACGAGGCTGGCTCCAGGGTGTTATCAACGCTTCATTGAGTGAGGGTTACTTCCCCGCGGCCTTGAAAGAGGCGGTGGTGAGGCCTCTCCTCAAGAAGCCGTCCCTGGATCCGGCAATATTGGCCAACTATCGTCCTGTCTCCAACCTTCGCTTTCTGGCGAAGGTTGTTGAGAGTGTGGTCGCGCGACAGTTTCCGCAATTCCTGGAGGAAACATCCTATCTGGATCCGTTCCAGTCTGGTTTCAGGCCTGGGCACAGCACGGAAACGGCATTGGTCGCGTTGGTTGATGATCTCTGGAGGGCTCGGGACAGGGGTTGCTCCTCTGTTCTGGTCCTGTTAGACCTCTCAGCGGCTTTTGATACCATCGACCATGGTATCATGCTGCACCGGTTGGAAGAGTTGGGGATGGGGGGCACCGTGTTACGGTGGTTCTCCTCCTTTCTCTCCGACTGGTCGCAGTTCGTGTTGACAGGGGGGCAGAGGTCGACCTCGAGGCCTCTTATATGTGGAGTGCCTCAGGGGTCGGTCCTCTCGCCCCTCCTGTTCAACATTTATGTGAAGCCGCTGGGCGAGATCATCCGTGGCTTTGGTGAGATACCATCAGTACGCTGATGATACTCAGCTGTACATCTCCACCCCAGGCCACCCCAATGATGCCCTTGAAGTGATGTCCCAGTGCCTGGAGGCTGTACGGATCTGGATGGGGAGGAACAGGCTCAGGCTCAACCCTTCCAAGACTGAGTGACTATGGTTCCCGGCATCCCGATATAGTCAGTTGACTCCATCACTGACTATTGGGGGCGAGTCTTTGGCCCCCACAGAGAGGGCTCGCAATCTGGGAGTCCTCCTGGATACACAGCTGTCCTTGGAGGAACATCTGACGGCTGTAACCAGGGGGACCTTTTATCAGGTTCGCCTGATCCGCCAGTTGCGGCCCTTTCTTGATCGGGATTCCCTGTGCACAGTCACTCATGCCCTCGTGACCTCTCGCCTTGATTACTGTAACGCTCTCTACATGGGGCTCCCCTTGAAGAGCACCCGGAGGCTCCAACTGGTCCAGAACGCAGCAGCGCGGGTAGTGACGGGAGCAGCATGGCGCTCCCGTGTAACACCGCTCCTGCGCGAGCTGCACTGGCTCCCAGTGGTCTTCCGGGTGTGCTTCAAGGTGTTGGTTATCACCTTTAAAGCGCTCCATGGCATAGGGCCTAGCTATCTCCGAGACCGCCTGCTGCCACTGACGACCTCCCATCGACCCGTGCGCTCCCACAGAGAGGGCCCCCTCGGGGTGCCATCAGCCAAACAATGCAGGCTGGTGACCCCCAGGGGGAGGGCCTTCTCTGTGGGGGCTCCCACCCTCTGGAATCAGTTGCCCCCTGAGATAAGGAGAATCCATGACCTCAGTGCCTTCCGCCGTGCCCTTAAAACCTTCCTTTTCCAACAAGCCGGGCTGGCCTAATTCTTTTTAAGTGTTTTTAATTGTTTGGTTTATTGTTTTAATTAATGGGGCCAAATTTATATATATATTTTTAACTGTATTTTAATATTTGTATCTGATGTTTTTATTTGGCTGTTCACCGCCCTGAGTCCTCAGGGAGAAGGGCGGTATACAAATTCAAAAAAAAAAAAAAAAAAAAGGTGACCCACATTCTACTCATCACTTCAGAGTTAAAATTTGTAAAACCTTGAATGTTACTATTTCTAGATCTTTGATATACCCAAATAAAGGAAGGTGGTGTGATGTGATCCCTCTTACTGAATAGGAAAGGGAGGATAGAACCAGTTCTTTATAGTGAGAAATAAATACCCAAACAGAACAGGATTTAGTTTAGGAGGTGTGAGGTTTCTAGTGTGAGGTTTCTCACCCCATTCCTAAGAGGTCTGTAAGGGGTGGGCATAAATGCACCAGCGTGCCTACTGTCCCTGTCCTAATATTCCTTTTTATTTACTCTTTTCAGGTATTCAAATTATGTTTATACTTTTACCTGTTATTTTATATATGCTTGACAAATAAACTTATGAAAAGTCTGAGTGCTGGTTGTATATTTGTAAATAAACAATTATTGCTGTTAATCTGGAATTGTTAAATTGTATAAAGAACACATTTGCTTTTAATTTTGCAGATTTATGAAAATACTTTTTTCTCCTATAACTTTTCTTCTAGCTTTTTTTCCTCACTGGTTCTTGGTAGCAAACCAGTCACTTATTCCACAGTGCTCCTGCCCCCGCCCTCCTTGACAATGGGAGATAATACAACAATAACAGCTGTATTTTGTGGTCATCCTGGATGATGGCAATAATATAGATTAATTTCAGGTCAACCTTTCCTTTTGGGTCTAGATGACAGAAGTTACTTGCTCAGCTTAAAGTAAATAGATTAATCATGCTGCTTTAATCAAAATTTGGCACACAGACTGGTTCAGGAAGATACACTAGATTTATTTTAAGGTAGCTTAAAATGTTATGCAAACTCTGAGTATTTTAATGTCTCACTTGCAAGGGGGCAAATAGTCACACACAGATTTTGTAACAGTTAAAAATACATGAAAAGTTGCTGCTCGCCTTTAGAATTTGGCACAATCTGTTGAATTCACTGAATGTACTGTACATTCTCTTCTGTTTAGAGTCTGCAGCTTGATAATCAATGTACAGATTACAGCTTCACCCCGTTTCCTAGAAATAGATAGTCATTGTCTGCTGTCAATGAGTTTGGCGAAGCAGGAAACACGAACTCATTTTGATCCTTCCCATGAGCCAGTTCTGAGCCAGTTCTGTTTCTAAATGAGATAACAAAGTTGTTGTGCATTTGATTTCGTCAGTTTCCTTTGCTTCCTTTCCTTTCTTTGGTATAGAGTTTTGAGTCTGAGAAAGTTAACTTTCCCCATCAAATTACATGATTAAGCATCTGGATTAACCCCTTTCTCCATCTGGGCTCTTCCATGTGGTAGATTTAGAATAGAATAACTTGAAGGTCTTCTAGTCCAACCCCTGCTTAGGCAAGAAACCCTTCACCACTTCAGACAAATGGCTATCTAATCTCTTCTTAAAAACTTCCAGTGTTGGAGCATTTACAACTTCTAGAAGCAAGTATTCTAACTGTCAGGAAATTTCTCCTTCATTCTAGGTTGCTTCTCTCCTTGATTAGTTTCCACCCATTGCTTCTTGTCCTTCCCTCAGGTGCTTTGGAGAATAGCTTGACTCCTCTTCTTTGTGGCAGCCCCTGAGATATTGGAATACTGTGTTCTATCCCTGTACCACGCACACACCCAACCAGCCAGCCGAGGGTTAAATAAACTCTTCAAACACACAACGTCAGTGATAAGGAACTCTGTGGCTGCCTGCCAAGAGCTTTTACTCCGATAACACAGACAAAAATACACACAGTTTGAATAGTCCAGTTTGTAATTAAATCCACGGCAAATAGGTGTTGTGTCTGAAGGTGCAAATGCCTCGCCAGAGATTAGCTTTGTCCGTCACAGAGTCCGAATGGCCACCACACTCCCTTTTATAGCCTGTGGGGTGTGGTCCAGTGACTCAGCTTAATCTCTGGCACGCCTCCTTTTCTGCTGCTCACGCTTGTCTCTCTGACGCTGGCGTGGGTCCAACCACAATGTTTCTTCGTCACTATCCGACGGTTCAGAAACACCTGGCTCCTGGCCAATCTCTTCTCCTTCGGGAGACACCTGAGGCATTGCCAGAGATGAGGGTCCTGGAGAGGGAGGCCTGGCGGTCTCCTCTCCTTTATGTTTGGAGCCTTCTTCCTCCGATAAGATAGGCTTGGAGGACGGAGCCACAACATACTGCTAACATGTCTCCCCTAGTTCTTCTCTTCATTAAGCTAGACATACCCAATTCCAGCAACCGTTCTTTATATGTTTTAGCCTCCAACTGTTTCTCTTGTGTATAAACGAGCTAGAAACGAAGCTGGTTTAAAAATATTTTTTTCTGGATTTTAATTATTTACTCCACTTTGATCAGGACAATGTTCTGGTGTTTTGCCCAGTTCATACTCATACATCCTAATTGTTGGATTCTCTTGCCTTTTTATTCTGCCATTGGATGGAAGCAAGCATTAATTGCTGCCTTTTCCTTAGGTACAAGTAATCCTCGATTTACAACAATTCATTCAGTGACCATTCAAAGTTACAACAACACTAAAACAAGTGACTTATGACCAGTCCTCACACTTATGACCTTTGCAGCATCCCTGCAGTCACATGATCAAAATTTGGACTTGACATGGATTTATGAGGGTTGAAGTGTCCTGGGGTCATGTGATCGCCATTTGCAACTTTCCCAGCTAATTTCCAACGAACAATGTCCATGGGAAAAGCAGAATTTGCTTTATGATCACACGCTTCACTTAAAGACTGATGACTCCTTTAGCAACCATGACATAAAGGAGGAATGTGCAAGAATTGTTAATAGGACATTTTTATCTTGCAGTTTGTGTTACATTAGAAGTGAACAGAATTCAGTCTATGGTATATAAATATTGCCTTACTGAGAAAAGTTACTCTAGTGTTAACATTACTAAATAGATAATTCAAGAGTTTAAAAAGATTAAAGCAAGAATTTTCCCACCATTGCATTTCCAAACACAAAATGAACAAGTTGGCATGCATGTCACACAGGAATGCCTGAAAACTGTTTTCATTTGCTTTGAGTTATTTTCAAACTTGATGTAGATCAAGTTGAAGATCTTCTGCTATCTAGTGGTTGTATCTTGAACTGGCAAATGCAGACCAATTGCTCGAAATCATTTTTTCTTTACTATCTTTACATTTGTGTTTGACTCCTTGCAAATCTCTGAGCATCAAGATTTCTTGTTTACATAAACTTATGGAAAACTCAGTATTGAATGCGTGTGCATTACATTATTTATTTAAAAATAGCATTAACAGTGATTTAAAAAGTATCAAGAACAGCATAAGAGTTAGGATGCTCCATTTAAAATGTTGCAAAATCTGAGTGGCTGAGTTAACACAATGAAGTTGGTAGAATCCTGTGTGAACTAGGTCCTCACATTAAGCTATAGCATGCTCACTGAACATAAGATTTGTGTTGCATTAACCAAGTTTAGCTATTACCATGTTGTATGATTGCAGCCATTCATCAATTTCAAGTAAACTCAGTTCTTAATTTTCTCATTATAGAAAAGGAGTTCCAAGCCATCCTCTTTAACCAGTTTTGCAACAGTTTGAATTAGTTATTATTTGATTTTACCTATTTTTATCTTATTTTAATTGGTCATATTTTATCTTTTACTATTGGACTTCTGAACATAAAGACTGGATAGAAATAAACAAATTAATGTTTTCTTTGAACCACAGCCATAATCGGTAAAATAAGTTCTTTATAATAGTGAGTTTTGATCTAGAGTCAAAATGGGATATTAATTTGGTAGGTAGGTAGATTGTTTGAACCAAATACCATGTTTTGTAGATGTCTGTCTATTTATGCTTATGTGAGAGTGAACGTGCAAGATAGATAGACAGGCAGACATAGCTGTGAAGATATATAAAAAATAAAAAAAGGGATCAAGTTCTCATCCCAAATAATTTATAAAGGTGGCTAATATCAGATCAACATGGGATGTTGAGGGATGAAAAAGAAAAAAAATCTTATTTGGAAAGAAAGAATGATTGACTAGCTGGCGTGCATCCTGAAGTACCTAACATCCATCCATCCATCCATCCATCCATCCACCCACCCACCCATCCGTATTTAGAAATCAACACAATTTAAATGATTGGCAATGATGAAGCACGCATATAATTATGGAACCTGGTGCTAAAACTTTTGCTGATGCTAGAAGGATCTACAAGAGTCTGCACTGTGTGGTATTGGAAGTTATCACAGCAGATCAGGATATCTTCCATATATGTTGTTGTAGACCGAACTTGGACATCAAAGTGATGAATAATAAAAATATTGCTATTATAGGGTCACAGTAATGGAATTTTGCAACTCTGAATGTGCCTCTCCCCTCCTGCATTTATCCTAAAAAGAACTAAAGAGGGTCAAGTCAAAGATATTTTCTCAAATTATATTCCTACTTTGGATTCAGATTTCTTTTACCTTTCATTGTCTTGGCTGTGGCTCTTCCTTCTATTCCTTATGGTTATTTTCACAGCCCATTACATTACAGTCGTATATTTTGGAGTGCTATGCAGAAAAAAAAAAGATATCCTGCATTATTTTTCCATCATTCAATATGTTGAAACTTCAAAACTCATTCACACCGAGAGCGTATGCACCAAGACAAATTCCTTGTGTGTCCAATCACACTTGGTCTATTCTATTCTATTCTATTCTATTCTATTCTATTCTATTCTATTCTATTCTATTCTATTCTATTCTATTCTATTCTATTCTATTCTATTATGTGTTGATAGAAAATGTTGATGAGATTCTCTTGAACAGAATGTGGTATTGATGTATTTTTTTAGTTACTTGGAAGAGTGGGTCAAAGGATTCAGCCGGATGCATGTTTTCATTGCACAATCATTTCTCTGGTGGTCAGCAATTTTCCAGGTTTCTTCTGTGGGGTATTTCAAACCTGGAAGTATCAGCACTACAGAGTAATGGAAAGGTGTCCATTTATTTAATATTTATAAATAAGTCTAACCAAGAACAGTAACATATGAACTATATCCAACAGGGAAATAAATTGCAAAGAGAAATTGAAGGAAAAATAATCTCAAGGAACGATCAAATAAGGCGGGGAAAAAAGTTTCTTTCAAAGGGGAAGACTGTTGAGCTGGTTTTGGAACAGCAGCGGGTTCTTGTTTCTCTTGGCCTAGATTTAACCTAACATTTTTGTCTCATTTCATGGTTGTAGGATATTGCAGTTTCAGAGATTGTAGGAGAAAAGTCATGTTGGTTTATGACAGCAAAAAAATCAGGAGTCTGATTGCGCCTTCTCTGATTAACATGTTTTATTTAAAGGCTTTATGCTTTCATGAGGTGCAGCTTATATATTTTAATAAAATGTGTTAGTCAGAAAAGGTGCTATCAGACTCCTCTTG